AAATGATCAGTACACCTCCCATGTCTGTGTTTTGTAAAGATTAAATAAATGAGATTTTAAGTGTTAATAAGTCAGTTTAGGAGATGCTTTTATCTTCAGACAGAGCCAGACTAGTTGTTTCTTCTTGTTTCCAGTCTTTGTTTGCAGTTTCACATTTAGTGCACAGATGTGAGAGTTGTACCAACTACTCCCAAAATATAAAACTATTCCTTTCACAAATTAAGAAATGAATGACTGAATTTTTCACTTTATTCTTTTCTCCTCACCCCTCAGGTGGTGACAAACCGCGACACCCAGGAGACCTTGCTCTGTATAGCATTTGTTTTTGAGGTTTCCACAAGTGAACACGGAGCTCAGTATCACGTCTACAGACTTGTTAAAGACTAACAGCTCTTCAGGGAGGTTTTGGAAAAGCCAGACAAAAGCGTGACACAATCTCTCTTCGACCAGCTCAACCATCCAGGAAAAACTACAAAAAAAAGAAGAAAAAAAGACCATTCAAACAATGCTAGACCGAACTAACATGGACACATTATATGCTTTAAAAAAAAGTATGCAAGGTGAATCTCAACGTGCCAACACACAAATAAATTTTGAAGAATTGCGACAACTAGCAACTTTCCATGTGTTTAAACATGATTTAGATGAAGTGGGTCACTTTTTGCCAAGGTAATTTAATGGAGCTTGAAATGTTTTACTGAGGGAACGAGAATGTGTGGAAAAGACTCTTACAGTATCTAAGGGAACACACTCTGAGCAACAGGAGAAGTGTATATATGATTGAAAAAAAATAGAGAGAATAGGACCACGGAAGGGGAAAACCAGAGCCAAGTGGTGTTGTTAAGGTTTGTTTGGAAAGCAAGTGCCTTTTCTCCAAAGATATTATCATTGCCTGCCACTTTGGATTGCCTTTTTTTTTTTACTACCTCTTGTTTTTAAATGAACAGAAAATAGTCATACAGGTGTTGTTTTTTTTTTTTTTTAAAGAAAGAATTGGAAAGAAACCTCAGATCAACATTTTGAGGCAGATTTTGTTTTCAGGCACACAGAGGAATGAGATGGGATAAGCAATTTGTTATGTTTGACAAAAACGAAAATAGTCCCAAGTGTTACAGTCCAAGTGTACGACGAGAAGGTTAATTGTGTTGCCATGTTGTTAAGGTTCTGCTTATTTTTTATACTTTATTACACAATTTAAAAGAATCAGGTCTTACAAGCATCTATCTATAACTGACTTTTTGACACTAGGGATGTCTTGTAACATCGCTATCCTGACGTAAAGCCAGGGCTTTGCCTTACTTACGAGATCCCCTGTTATTTCTCTCTGTTTGAAGACGTGTGCTCGGTTGCACTTAAAAGATCAAGAAGGGGTGTGCAGCAACAGCAGTGCTTATTTTCTGCCTTGAGGTATGTAGCGTAATTGAAAAAAAAAAAAAGAATTGTTTCTGTACTGTGAGTCAGCGGATGCTAAAGGAATATGTGTTACATAGGAGTATTTTCTTGGGGGGGGAGGGGGCTTTATGTTCATATTTGTGATCAAGTAACTCAGCACAGAGACCATGGTTACAAAGGAGAGAAGTAAATCACTGTTTCTTTTGTTTAAAAAAGAGATTGTATGCTGTGAAGTTGGTTCATTTGCTTCACCCTTCTCTGTGTAGTGTGTGGAGAAGCTGCATTCATTGATAAAAGTTCAGTTTTGATATTTAAGACAATTTTTTTTTAACTTACACTACACATGAAATATGTTTGAAATCAATCTAAATAATTGTCTTGAATGAGAGCTATTGTCTCTGTGCTGTGGAGTATGACCATTGATTGTTATTTATAGGGTTGGATAAGAAACAGTGGGAGGGCAGGGTGGGGTACTGGAGATGTGTTGATAATTTTCCATTATGATGGAGATGTTAAAAGTATTGCAGGACTCATATTAGAGACAGGATTAACTGTCCTCCAATGAGTCCCGCTAGACAAGTGTCTACTCTGTGTGGTTCACTGGACAATTTTTGGTATAAAAGTTCAAATTATTGTACGGTGGCAAAATTGCACCTGGCTTTGAATGTCATTTTTCACAAGCTAGATACAATAACACTCCTCCTCTAGCAGGTCTCTCAGTTTATCTTTTATACAGACATTTTGTTTTGCCATTATCAAGATTAATGTTTTTGTTTTGATTCTGTTGTCTTTTGACTTTCAGTGTTTGCCATATGCTTCACTGAAAATAATGTGTGATTGTGCTGGTATTGATAATTAATAATGAGATATCTAATGTATCATATTCTGAATGGTGTGGGCAGTTTTTTTGTTTTTCGTTTTTTGTTTTTTTGTTTTTTTTTTGGTTTAAGGTGGTTTACTATTGTCTTTGTTACCATTGTGCATTGCAATTTTATACTTTAAAGTAGAGGTTGGACTATGTAATCAACAAATGTATCTAACAATAAAAGACGCATGGTGCCTTTGGGGCCATTTTCCCCAGAAAACTCATTAAACATGTTTGTAAATTTGTTTTGTCTATGATGTTTTTTTCCATACCAATATTATAAGGTGGCTCGATGGTTAGCACCGTCGCCTCACAACTAGAAGGTCGCTGGTTTGCGTCCCGGTGAGGACACCCGGGATCTTGGAGTTTGCATGTTCTCCCGTTGCAGCGTGGGTTCTCTCCGGGTTCTCCGGCTTCCTCCCACAGTCCAAAAAACATGTTGAGGTTAATCAGTGATTCTAAATTGTCTGTAGGTGTGAAAGTGAGTGTGCTTGGTTGTCTGTCTCTAAGTGTAGCCCTATGATAGACTGGTGACCTGTCCAGGTGAACCTGCCTTCACCCTAAGTCAGCTGGGATAGGCTCCAGACTCCCTGCGACCCTAGTGAGGATTAAGTGGTGTATAGATAATGGATGGATGGATGGATATTACAAAGGATTGCAGCAGCAAATATTGTGGTGATGTGGCTGAAAGATCTATTAATAAGAAAATGATTTCGATCAGTAGGATCTTCTTGGGCCGCAAAACTTGTAGAACTGAAGAAAACCCTAATGATTGAAACATCTCACAACAACTATTAAACATTGACTGTGAAAGTACAGAGAAGAATGATTTTGACTTTTTCTGACTATGATGATGTTTTTGTGGAGGTTTTTTGGTCAAGCACCTACAACATGCTTGGATGTTTGTACCCTTTTTCTTTCAACCAAGAATCTCTTGGTTAAGGATTCTCAGCTGCATTTGCACTGTCTGACTTTGTCAACCATTATAAGAATTTTTAAAAAACTCCATTATAACGTAATGAAAGGAATTACTTCATAAATAAAGCAAAGATCAAAAAATGTTTTGACAGGCATTAATGCAGAAATAGCTGTTCCTGTTAAAAAAAAATAAAAAAATAAAAAAACATTAAATCTACCTGGGATCCCTTGGTACCAAAAACATTCACCCTCTGGACCTCTTAAACTTCTGTCTGTTTCTGTTTGTAATTCTGCCCCACTTCATGAAGAACCTCACAAATTCTGGTGGGGGGCCAACCCCAATGTTGGAAATCACTCGGCTAAATCACCAGCACATGACATAAAACACAAGTACCTCCATCTCAACTAGCTGGAGCTGTAAAATACTACTTATGCTTTGCTGCATCAGGTCTCAGTGACTCCTGCACAACTGCAATTTTACTCAATTCGTCTTTGAAAAACTGCTCAAGCTTTTGCAGGTTACTCAGGGATTGTAAATGAACAGTCCTTCTTAAATCCAGCCACAAAATCTCAGTTGGATGAACTCTGGGCTCTGACTCAATCACTCCACACCATTAACATTGGTGTCTTTAAGCCATCTCTAAGTAGCTTTGGCTGTATGCTTTTTGTCATTCTCTTACTAGAAAACAAATCTTCCCTCAAGTCACAGTTCTCTTGCAGACTGCATCAGGTTGTCCTCCAAGGTTTCCCTATACTTTGTTGCATTTGTTTCATCCTCTACCTTTACAAGACTTCCAGAGCCAGCTGCTGAGAAGCATCCCCACATCTTGATGCTGCCACCACCATGCTTCACAGTGGGCATGGTGCATTTGTGATGATTTGCAGTCTTTGGTGTCCAGCAAACAAAGTGTCTAGTCAGTTTACAAGTGACTGAACCTCCCATATGCAGGTGTCTTTATTTGATAATCACTGGCGACATATTTATTTCACTCAGATGATCTTATTTCTCTAATGGTGTGACATGTGGAAACATTTGACTGCACCAGTGTTGAATTAGATAGATTAATTTAACTGGCATTAATTTTCAAAAATGTACTTTCACTTGACATGAAAAAGATATTTTTGGAAATTCTTGTCTAAAAAGACTAATTAAATTAGCCATCATTCAATGATGAAAAGCAATAAAAAGGCAAGAAAACGTTTGACAGGTACTGTACAAATTTAGAAGGTTTTTCCATTAAATGAATTCCTTCTTGCTTTTAAATGGCTTGGATGTACCTTCACGGTTAGAATGTGCTGGTGGTTGAAGTCACTCTCCACTCACCCTTTTCTTCTCTGCAGCTGGGGCTCACCAGCTCACAAGATTCTGCTCAAACACTGTGAAACTACTTTGCACTACACAATGGCAAATTGTTATATAAGAGTAATTCAGCCTTACAGGTTCAAACAAACAAACAAAAAAAAAAAAAACAGGCAGGAAAGAGAATAATGATATGCGATTGGTTCCTTAGGTTTGTAACGTAAGAAAAACTGGCTGTCTGAATGAAAGCACAAAATGGAAAGTTAACAAGGTAAATACAGTTTGATTTTCAAGAGAGAGTCTCTAAGACTTTATTGTGGTATTTTATTTTTACTTTATTTATTTTTATTTTTTTTAACTTATGCTTAAGTGTTTTTTGCTTTTTTTTAAAGAGTTGCTATAGAGTATGTCAACACTGTACTTGCGTTAATACGCTTCTTTCGTACCTGCCTGCAGTAGGCGTTTGGCTAAAAGAACTTCACCTCCCAGAATTCATTGCGGTCAGGGGGCCTCAATTTTATACCAGCTGACTTTACGCCGGCAGGAAAATCACCCAGCAATGGAAACCGCTAAATACCGCTAACACACTATTTGTTATCTGACATGCTGACTGTCCGACTTTGCGTTATCTTTATAGTTATTAACTTGGCTTACAATAGCAGCTAGCTAACACGCTAACAGGAAACACTTTGGGTCCAGAGCCAACACTGACGTTACGACACCGTCACTGCATCTGCACATTAACGGTCCGGTTCACTTCAGCTGACGTCCACAGGTTCGTGAGGTGAGTTAAAGTACCGAATAAACTGGTAACAAGTCAACGGAAACCGGAGTCAGCTTCACAGCTATATAGACCAAGTAAATAGCTAGCTAGAGTTGTTTTTAGCAGCTCACTGGGTAACTGGGGTTACCTGCCAGTGACCAGGCTACAAGCTAACAACACAATAACTCAGCTTTTCATCGAAATGTCTGCGAGTAAAACACTGACGGGGCTAACAGGTGTGCTACTGGAAGTATTTAGGCTAGCTAAAAGAGTCCTCATTGTCTACTAGTTATTTGATAACGTAGCTACCCCGGCATGTGTTCTCCCCCAACAACAGCAACAGCCTGCATTTTGCAGCATCCCTCTCACTGCATTTTGCAGACTAATTGCACACCTTTAGGTGAACGTGAGTTTTTCAATAGCAATGACATTGTTTATTTGAGTTTTTATGCTTATGGCTTCCACTGCCACACTGAATAAGTTTTGCCTTTTCAAAAGCACTGTTGCCTCTGTCCCCCTTCTCTCCAGACAGAGCAAAGCCATGTCAGCACTCTGTTTGGGGCCAGGGTATTGTTTGTTCTCCCAGGAGACAGGAGTGAATGCTGCCCTCTCAATACTTTGTCTCCTTCAAAAACAAAACAACCAAAAAAAAAACCTCTAATAATACTTATTATATGGGGTTGAGCATTTTAGATGAACTGTTTAAAATTGGTTTATTGTTTGTTTTATCAGTTAAAAAAAACAACAAAATCACATTTTGCTGAACCCTCAAAACAATCAGTCAGGCCCCAGTCTGCTAGGTTTGCATTTTTGATGCTTACTGTGCAGTTTTAAATGTTCATTTTCTTGTCTTATCCCCCTTTTTAGTCATGTGACTCTGTGTGCTTTTGCACACTGCAGTTTTTTTTTTAAGAATGCATGTGTGTGAATTTCCCTTTGTCATTCAAGTTTCAGTGATATAACTGTCAGATTATGTTACATAGATGAATTACTGTTTATTAAGTACTTATGTGTGTGTACTTGATGTTTTTTTGGTGCACCCTGACATGCCATCTAATGATAACAACAATGGACCTCAGACAACGACATCTAACAATCATTTTTATGTGGCACATTAGGATCTGTCCCCAGTCACCTCACCTGATCTGACACTTCATCACTTCTACTGATCCTCTGATCTGCCAGCATGGCGAACGCAGACTCTGTCAGTGTACGAGTTTTCTCTCTGAACTGCTGGTCAGTGTCTCTGAGAGATTCTAATGCTCGAATTGTAGATGCTTAATGCATTTTTCTTCTTGATACATTTATGCCACAAACTTCTCAGTTCTTACTTCCTCTATTTCTTTTTGCAGGGGAATCCGTTATCTAAGCAAACACTGTCCTCAGCGCTATGCCATGATAGGGGAAATGTTGTGTAGAGAAGAGCATGATCTTGTCTTACTGCAAGAGGTAGGTGGAAGCCAAATTGCAAAACTGTGAAGTTGCAGAGTCACTAATCTGGCTTTTTCAGCTCATGCACTCAGTTGAAGTTGGTATTTTCTGTAATGAGGACCAAGCTTATGTCATAAATCCACATTTAGACTTGTGTGAGTAATAATAATTATGTAGAGATGCTTGATATTGTGCTTTTCAAGTGACATATAGATGCTTTTTTCAGGTGTGGAGTGAGAGAGACTATCTTTACTTGAAAAAGAAACTTGCCTGTAGTCATCCCCACTCTCATTACTTCAAAAGGTAATGCTTTATTCTCTCCCACACGGGATTGCTGTGAAATGATTTCTCAAATTGCTAACTTTGAATGTCTTTCAGTCAGAAAAATGTACTTGCATGTCTTTGAAGCCAAGGAGCTGCCTTAAGGATTAACTTTTGCTGCTTAATTCTTTCTTGACCTTCATACCAAGGCATAAGACTGTGATTAATCAAAGGTTCTACCTTTGTAATTCACTCTGCAGTTCACAAAAATGTCAGCTCTAGTCGATAAGCTCTCACATCTCCTGCAGATAACACCTACGTGTACATGGAGTAGCATAATGTACATCTACGTGGAATAATAAATACAAGTAACCATACAACTTCTGCTCATGTCCTGCTTTTGCTCTCATTCTGCAGCGGAGTCATCGGCAGTGGACTGGCCATTTTCTCCAAATACAGAATCCATGACACATTTGTTTATCGCTACTCACTGAATGGTTATCCTTACATGGTAAGTCGGGAGACCTTGAAACACACAAAACAGTGTTTTGCACAAGTATGGAAGAAGTGTTCTGATCCCTTACATTAGTAAATATAGCAATACGTGGATGTAAAAGTTCTACTTTAAGAGTAAAAGTTCTACATGCAAAATGAGTAAAAGTAAAATGTTATAATTAACATTATTATAAGCATCTGTTCATGCAAAACGCCTTTTCTTGAATTAGATATATTATAAAATCGTTGTCACTGATGCATCAATGTGTGAGCAGCCATTTTTGTTGTGTTGGTTGAGGAGGAAATGATTTTGACTGCTTTATATTATAGAACAGTTTATTCCTGTTAGCTACTGAGTGTTAAAAATCTTTTTTCCTGTCCAGTAAGAGGGTAAGAATTTTTCAGCATGTTCAACTTGTCCTGAAACAAGAAAGACTACGCTGCTGCACTAGAATTATGAAAAAAAAAAAAAAAAACTGACATTTGCAAAATTTCTTAAAACACATTTGTTCATGTTGAAAACCAGTAATATACTATAATGGCATATTTATTTATTTTTTCGTGAGTAAATCCAACTTGTAAGAACAAAGTAAAGTATTCAGAGAACTGCAGATTTAAAAATTATGATATTTTCTTCTAAAATGAAGTGAAGTAGATGTAGCTTAAAATAGAAATTGTAAGTGAAACAGGTAGCGCAACAGTAATACTAAATGACATAAAACAAGTGTAGCTTCATTCATTCAGTGTGCATTCCTTCTGTTGTCTTTGGAATTAGGAGAGTTCTTTAATTTAACAAAAAACATGTGAAAAAATTACCACTTTCTGATTCTCTGATGCTGTTTTTTTGTGTCTTGCATTGTCTTACCATTACACATCTCTTTGCGGCTCATAATATTTTGTCTCATCTCTTTTTCACTGTTGATGTTTTTCCTCATATTAAGGCTCACCATGGAGACTGGTTTGGAGGCAAAGCTGTTGGGATGGCCATCTTGAATATTGGCAGCCTGACTGCAAACATCTACGTCACTCATGTAAGACTTCATATCATAAGTTCTCAGCCCTGCTTGTGTATTACAGTCTGTTATTGATGATTGTGCTGTCCCTGCGCATTGATTGCAGCTGCACGCAGAGTACTGCAGAGAGAAGGACTCTTATCTACCTCACAGAGTGGTGCAGGCCTGGGAGCTGCAGCAGTTCATCCGGTAGTGTGTCCTCTTGTATATCCTGCACAAACGCTTATTTGTTTACACTGGAATATATTTGCGTATTTTTGCCGAGTGAACCCAATGTGTCGGGTTCACTTGGCATTTAGAGTTTGAGAAATGTTAAAAGCAGCATTACATTGTCTTTAGTCAGAAACAAATAAGAATGACAGGGAAGTTTCATCTTGATGGGGAAATGTATCATTGGTAAATAATGTGTTTTCTGTGCCCGTTAGCCACACCTCTGCTGGAGCAGATGTGATCCTTCTCGGTGGGGACCTCAACATGCACCCTCAGGACCTCGGCAACAGACTACTGAGGTCTTACACTGGACTGCAAGACTCTTATTTAGAAACTGCTAAATTTGATGTATGTACTGACAAGAATGCTACACAATATACATGTTTATTTGTATATAGATGATAAACAATCCGTTTTTACCTGGGTATTCGTTCTTATAACTTTAGCCATACTTTATGTTTTGCTTTTTGCTGTTGTCACATTTTACTAACTTTACAGTAAAATAAGGGGTGAAATATTTACCTTACTTTACTATACCTTAAAAGCTTGATATGATCCTCCAGAGCACTTTAAAACTTCTTTCACCCACTATTTCAGTAAACACTCATGTTCAAGGTTTGGACAAGAAGTAGCTAGTAAGTAAAGGACCATTGTAACAGATAGAAATAGTAATCTAGAAATAATATAAACAAAAGCCAGATTGTAAAAACAGAAATGTCTGTTATTTGTTGGTTTTGTGTAAATTAAACTAGTGTTTTCTGTTGCAGGGATGTGAGAATGGCATGACTCTAATAGCAGACAACCCTTTCATCAGTAAAAAGGAGCTCGGCCCTTTCGAGAAGGGAATCCGAATTGACTACATCCTGTTCAAGGTGAGTGGAGGTTTTGCGTTGTCCCACCTCCTGTTTCTATTTTCAGAGCAAAATGAATTGCAAAGCTGTTTTACGCCTAAAGAACACTGTCCCTTTTGTGATTCCCAGAGTTCTTCCAAAGCCGACATTTATTGTGATTCCATGTCCACCACCAAAGGCTCCGTTCTTGACCATCCTTTCCCGTACTCTGACCACGAGGCTCTCACTGCTGAACTAAGGCTGGAGTATTGCATTCCAGCTCAGACTGGAAGTGACAGACAATCAAAGAATCAAGATGCAGCTGCAGGTATTTTTTATATTGGCAGGGTGGCTTTATAAGTGGCAATCTCTGCTTTTGGATATTGAAATGTCAACAATAACTAGTTGCTACATTGCCATAAAATTTAGTACAGACCTTTATGTCCTCCTCAAAATTATTATAAAAGCCTTTATAAATTCTTTACACGTCATCTATCTCTATCATTAGGTCAGTTTTTATTTAGCTGGTATTTTAGTTTCAAAGCAAATGCCTGAAAAATAAATGACTTTATGTTAACCTGAGGTGGTCACTGATTTTAATCCCCTTCAGAGTATGTGAGTGAGCTGGTAGATGAAAACAGGCCAACAGCAACATACTGAGGCACCAGTATCAATGTTGCAAAAACATTTTGTTAAGCTGCAGTATTCTCCTCTGGCCAGTTCTGCAGAATATCCACGTCTCTTGCGGGCCACGTCTTGTAATTTCATCCTGGCATAAATACTGTCTGAGTTAAGTTAATGAGGAGCACAGTGAATTTTTAATGCTATGTTGTAATATTAATCCCATCCGATTTGGGGCTTAAGTAGCTTCACAGAGCTGCTAGCATTAGCGTAGATTCTTCGTCTTTTTTTCTGTGGCACTTTATTCTCCAACTTTAGACTTGTGTTAAACATTTAAAGACTCTTGCTCTCTCTGTCTATTCTTTCTCTAATGGCTTTAGGGAAGCTGGCTGAGTTAGTTGACATTGTTACAGAGGCCCGAACAGAAGTCAAGGTGGGTTTGCACTGCGCCGAGAGGATGCGATACACAGCAGCACGCACCGGAGTGATGGGGTTGGCTCTGCTGTTCCTGGAGCTGGCCATCGCAGCAGTGCCCTGGTTGGCTCTGGGAGCAGAGCAGCCTTTCCCTCGCACCTCCTTCTACCTGCTGGCTGCACTGTGCTTCGCCATCCTGCTGACTACCTCTCTGCTGTACATCTTTTATACCATGGAGCTGAAGTCTCTGCAGGGGGCTGAAGACCAAATGAGGCTGGCTGTTGGTAGTCTGCAAGAGAAGCTCAGGGGTTTTCCTCTGGCTCAGCCTCACAATCCCCCGCGGAGGCCCCCAGAGGGTCAGGAGCCCAGTGCTTTTGACCCAGAGGAATAATACGGCAGCCAAGTAGGTCAAAGGGTTCTCACAGAAAGAAGCCTTTGAAGTCAGCTTTAAGATGGACATTTTAGGAGTCTGCTCCTCTGAATGTGTTATAAGCTCTTAAGATTTAGATTTATACTGCAGAATAAAGAACTATGACTGAAGGACATTTCTGAAAGTAGTGCAGGACACATGCTTTGACATTTTATACTTTTTATATAGTCATCTGTAGGCTTTTATTACCCCCAAGATTTCACTCTATGCACCTGAACAAAAAAATGCTTCCTATTTCGCAGAGAGGTACTTGTCTGTTACTGCTGTGCTTAAAGGTTGTAAAAAGAGACCATTTGTGTTTTTGAGCCTCAGGTCCGACTTGCATTCCACCCACCAGTAGTGTCATCGGGACCAGTTGTTTCTATTTATAATTTTAAGCTCCCCTTTTGGGATTTAGAGAATCCACAACACAGACATTGTGGGTTCCGTTTGTGTTTGTCAATTTAGTTGATGTGCTTAAATACTTCTGAACAGTAGCCCTGTGGTCTCCACTACACAGAAGACACAGACACTCCGACGATTGAAGGTTTATGTTTTGGTCAGTAACTTTTTCCTTTTTTTCTCTGGAGGATAGATTACTGAATGCCTCCAGTTGTACTGTAAGATAAGGATCCTCATGCACTGTTTAAGACTTTTTTAGTGTAGTCGACTGTAGGAAAAGGGACAACAGCTATCTGCATGTCTCTGTTCACATGACTAATATTTTCCACTTGAATCTGTTTATTATTTTTTTTTATGTTAAAGATAACCTACTCTTCTCTCTCCCATGTCTGAAGGTATGAAACACATCTTGGATACACTAAAAATGTACTGCTCTTAACTTTGATCTAATCTGATCACATGAATCACTTTTGCAAAGCATCAAGTATTAAGTAATATTTAAAAAAGCTTAATTTATCTTTAGTCTGCAGTGCACTTCGCTGATTAACCAGATAAATCACTTCCTTGTATGTATCCTAGGAGATTACATATTGATTTGTTTTGCTGTAAAACCATGTTGTGACTCAACATGAACCTAACAATGACTGAATTTCATGATTCATGACCTTAGTGCTGAAAAAGTTCTTTGTAGTTCATTTCATTAAGGTATATTGAATTTCAGATGGTACCTGATGTTCTTTCCATCTGACAGCTGTAATGGGCATGATCACAAAAGCAATAATAAAGACTTTAATATGCTTGCTTCTGGAATTCTGGGACTCTGGGTTAATGTGAAAAGTCAGCACATGATGTCATCTTACAATTTAAAATGAAAATATCATTCACTGAGATCCACACATTCACCACTAGGGAGCAATCTAAGTACTGTAGATCCAACAGGTGAACTCTTCAAATGAAAACAAGTCTCCCAACTAATGAATCACCAAACTGCCTTCATAGCAGGAATTTCAAGACAAAGGCCCTGAAGCATGTGAGAGCAGGTGACGGCCAAATTTGCCAGATCTTAGACGCCAGCTGGCACACGTATGCCCAAAGGGCAGGAGCGCCCAGGGTGTGGTGCATTTGCATTTTTCATTTGCTCAGAGTGCAAAGAATAATAATATATTCATTTAACATCAGGTAAACATTTCAGAAACCATTGCATTCAGTGCTACAGAGGAAAACACTGTTAGAGCTCCACAGGCATTTCAGACTGCATGACAATCTGAAAGTAGAATAAACACATAAATTAGGCTGGCTTAATGCAACTTACCGTGAAGCTAAGGCTGCAGTAGTTTTGTGGTTCTTTCCAAAACTAGTTAATCACTTTTTAAAAAAGATATTTGAGTAAAAATGTCTGACGTTTGTGTTGAAGACAAATGGTTACCTGCAGTTAGAAGATAGATGAAAGGACCACTCTAAGACCTTTTGTATTTCTTTGTGTAATATTAGTGTATTGCAAAAAATTCAGTTGGTAGTTAGCAGCAGGTTTTCTTTTACCAAGTCATCAGCTTTTGTGCTTTTGTGCAGTCTTTGTGTCAAGTAGTTGAATATTTCCAATATTGATAGCTACATTCTAATCAATTTTTGTTACAGCATCCTGCATGCAAAATAAATAAATTAGTGAAGCAAATTCCCTCTTATTTAACACTTTTTTTTTGTCTTGCAGACTGCTGTAGTGACAGCATCCTTTTCCCACTCTTGCAGTGCAACGTTTGCACTGAAAAAGATGACTAACACAGTGTGAACAAGTTTGTGTGCAGGATAAACTCAGGTTCTCTTCACAAAAGGGTTTTTGTTTTTCCTTATCTGCCCAAATCGAGTCTATTTCACGTATTTGTTGTGCACCACTTTGTTTGATTGTAGCAGGATTGTGATAAGACTGTAATGAGTGGTGTAAGATACCAGCAAAATAATATTACATCACTCAGGTTTAAGCTTTCTTTATTTTTACGAGACTGGCAGAACTGTATCTGTGTAGTCGAGGACTGCTGCTTTTATCTCAGTCCCAGCCCTGCAGCATGATTCAACAAGTGTCTGGCCACGTTGACTTTTCTGCTTCGAGTTAAATGGAGATTTAACAGAATTAGAGGTAGAAGTACAGAACTTATCATGCACATCTTCCCTCTTTGTATTTTAAAAGAGAAAGTAACTCAAATGCTATTTGCTGCTATATTGTTGCACTTGTGTGTTTCAGTTTTACGCTGCTTTACACTTCTCTTCATTTGTGAAGTTTTGCACTTTTTGCTGCATTGCATTGATTTGACAGCTCTAGTTACAAGCTAATTTACTAATTATGCTCCAGCAGTAAAAATGCTACTCAGCACTTAAGCACTAGTATTAAAAATCTGCTATATAATAATGTCAAAGTCTAAAAGAACATTTTTTCTTTAATTAGGACCTTTTCTTTTTTCTTTTTTTTTTCAATTCTCCAAGAACATTTTGCTGATAATATGTATGCAATTTTAATTAATGCAGGAGTGTAACTTGTGGTGGAGTATTTTTATATAGTTGCATTTGTAATTTTACTGTTGGAGCTCACAGGGTTTGTACTGGATGTGTAGTTTATATGCACAATGCAAAATTTTCTCAGCTCATCATAGGAAATGCATGAACTGAAAAGTACCTGGTAGCAGTCCAGTAATCCTAGCTGAATAATATGTATCTCTTGATGCAGTTGTCCTCAAATGTACACACACCGTCCCATTAAAGAAGGAAAAAAAACAGCTGTCACTGAAATAAGTTGAAATTGACAGAAGTAATAATAAATAAAAATGTAATGAGAATCACGACATTGCTTTTGAATTGTTCAACAGAAATATTTAAAAAAACAAAACAGAAAAAAAAGCATGATGGGACCCATAAACTAATATTTTGTTGAACAACCCTTTGAGCCAATCACTGCAGTCAGGTGTTTTCTGTAACTCTCAATCAGACTTCTGCACCTGTTGACAGGTATTTTGATTTTGGTCCACCGCTCATCAGCAAAGAGCTCTAATTTGTCCAGGACAATTTTGTTTGTTTTTTAAAAATATTATTTTCAACCACACTTTAAAAGCAATGTCATATTTCACTTAATTATAAATTGGCATAATTTATTATTATTATTTTTATTTATTTATTTATTTTTTCATTTTCTAATTATTTGAGTGACTATTGTGAATTTTGCCTTTTCTTTAATGGAAGGGTATTAATACATTTGAGGACGACTGTATTTGATAAACTAGTCTAACTAAGGTGCATGTAGAGAACTGTTAGTTTACTTTTCAGATTAATTTCCACGGCTGTTCTCCAGCAGCCTCCCCAAACCTGCTCATTGTTTGCGCTGTGCAGCTCAGGAGTATTTGTCAAGTAAGAGAAAAAGTGATGACAAGCCGCAGCGGAGTCTTGCAGCTCCTTTGTGCCCGTATGGGCGCGGTCTCAGCGGGCAGGGCCGGGCCGGGCCGGGCAGGGCAAGGTGCGCGTTTATTGCCTCAGACCACACCGACGCTCCGCAGCCGACAGACTTCCCTGTTGGATGTGGTCGAGCTGCCCTGCACAGTTTATAAGAAATGACGAGCCAGGATCCTCTGAAGTCGGCCATTTCCATCGGGAATGTGGACGACACGTCTCTGGCTCTGCCGTCCGCCAACCAGTACCGGTCAGGACAGCAGCGCGTCCTGGAGCAGGTCCAGACCATCAAGAGGACCAAGTCGAGGCTGCCCAGCAGCAGCAGCAGGAGCGGATCTACGTCTCTGTCCCCCACAAGTAAGAGCAGACAGGGACTGGGTCAGGACACCGAGGACTGACAGGGAGAGTTTCTGTGAACCGAGTTAGAAACTTGCTCAGTGTTCTGTGCTTCTAGTTCTGAACTCCTGCTAGTTTAATTACAGGCGGAGAAAAGGAAGAAAGCTTCCTCTGTTCAGCCCGATGGCAGTTTGAACAGTTTACACTTTGTCACCGCCTGTCTGTAGACCCGCTAGTGGAATACATAAAATAATAAAACACACATATTGTATGTTGGAAAATGAACTTCTTATGAGGTTGCTTCCATGATCAGAATTGTTTTTGTTAGTATACTTAGAATAGGACAAACAGGGAAGCTGCTTCATAACATTTGGTAAAGCCTCTGGAAACTGTAGAAATATCCAAGAAACATTATCCTATATGTAGAAGACAGGACTGAGGTGCCTCAGGAACCTGCTTATTTGTGGTCTTTTTGTTTTCTGAGTAGTTTCCTTTTTTTCCCAAGAACAGGGCGACAGCCTTGATCCTCACATGTGGGAATCTCTTAAGTCCTATACACATAAATCAGAGGGAAATTTAAAAAGAAAGAAAGAAAGAAAGAAAAGAAAAGAAAACTAAGGTCTGTCTATATTTAAAATTATGATGAAATATTTTAAATCTTTGTAATATTTTTTTTTAGTTTAATCTTCACAAAGTCCAGAAGTCAGATTTTTCTGCAGCCCAATAAAGTGACGTTTGAATAGCCTATGGCTATACAAATGATCCCTGACTGAAATCTGTCAATAGGGCATACCTATTATCAAAATGAGCGTTGCTGTGTGACTTTTACAGGTATAATAAGAAACAATCCATACAAATTGTAATTAATTCATGCTCTCACTTGTGGCCTTTGTTCTTTGCTGCCGGATAACTTCTATAATTTTTAGATGTTCATTGCTCTCTCAGTAGCCCTCAGTACAGACACTAATATCTTCAAAGCATAAAGCATAGATGAGTAGCACTGCTGGAAAACTGAACAATAACGTTCCTTCTTTTCTACAGGCAAAGGCAATAAATGGTCATAAATGTGGTGTGTGCTGTACAAATGATAAAAGCAGCTGATAATGCTCAACGTCTCTCCTCAGGCCCTTCGTACGACTCCGTGTTCATTGATGGTTTGAGGTCACAGTCTAGTCCACCTTATGGCAGTGTCTTTGGAAATGGCTTCTCTCAAAGTGTGAGTTATTCTGAATGTTATCTATATTGCGTAATTACACTTCACAGAGTCTCCTAGCTGCGTGACACTCACACACTCACACTGTTTCCACAGCAAAACTAATGTTAGTCTAAGATGAGGCGCTAGCTGCAACTGAGGACAGTTCCTGACATTTGGGGGATTAAAAAAACAAACCGGGGGAGGCGTTTATGTTCAAAAACTAAACACAGAATCAGGCTGATTTTAGATTACATTTTATTATCTCCTTTTTTTTCTTTTTCTTTTTTCTTTTTTTTTTTTTTTACTGTGTATTTAAAACATTATTTAGATTAGGGCTGCAATCAAATTATTCGAGTCAATAGTAGTAGTAGTGTAGTTAATATTATTTCTGTTTTATTAGTGAGTCATTTGCTGGAAATTGTGGAAATGGGATGTCTTCAGCTTGCTTATTTTGTCCATATAATCATACAAAGCCTTAAAACATTTAATTAGTTTCATTTATGACAGTAAAAAGTAGCACATCTCTGTGTCTGAAGAACTGGAACCAGCAAAATATGTGACATTTTTATTTTTAAAATGCATGAAATGATGCATAGATTTTATTTTATTTGTTTAAGTTTCAGATATGTTTCTTTTGACCTGCTAATTGCTAACCAACAAATTCATTAGTCACTGCAAATCTAAAATTAATGCATGAAATGTGAAAATATAAAATAGTCTGAAAATATAAATATACATTTCTTGATAGCCTTTCAGAATTTTTCAGAGTTGCTTACCTGGGGGGATTTTTATTATAGACCTTATTATATCTAAAATCCTTACTAAGCCTCTGTCCTGACTGAGAACTTTTCCACTATTTGATGCGTCATTGTTGTAGAAATATCATAAGAAACATGTTTGATTCTATAAATGTTGTGTTTGTAAAGGAAAGAAGCAAGAAATCGGGCATCAAAATGTCTTGTCCTCGTTTGACTTTATTCCTATTTGTGGTGGAAAACCAGTCTCCAGATCCTGTCAGTCTTTCTGTCTATTCATACAAAAATCTGTCCAACAGCCTCTCCCATGAAAGCTGCCAGGCATTGCACCACAGGGTTGATCACTGATATGATCTGTCACCATCTGATTTACCATTGCCTGCTCTGTGTTACCTCATTGCTGCTGAAATATGCCTTCATGAGACATCTTTAATTACAAACACATGTATTATTTGGCTCCGCAGTACAGCTTTGAGAAAAACATTAACCGGCAAATCGTCAACAACTCCAAAGGACCCACCATGAAGAGGATCATGGCAGGCTCTACCTACCAGTACGAGAGGGGCTACGCCCCTTTGGGCTCCTTGGCGGTCGGTCGGACCAACACCAGCCGCAGCGAGCCTGATCTGGCCTGGAACCGCTCCATGCCCAAACGCTCGGCCCCACAGCAGAGAAACGTCTCGAGCAAAAACACCTACACGACACAAAGGAGCACCAGTCAGTTTATAACGAGCGCAGCACCAAAGCCTCAGCCTCCCCCTGCAAATGGCACAGGTCCGAGCAAATCAAACAGCCAGTTCATATGCAGTCAAACTGACATGTCCAAAGTAGCGTCAAAGCCTCCCACCACTGACTTTACCACCAAGAGCAAAGGGGATTCTGGGTAAGTGGGAAAATACTGTTTTCTTTAACTGATATATTTCATTTTCTTAATTTCACATATGAATATGAAAACATTTAAATTGTTTCACAAAGGTTCAATGAAAGCAGTGGAGTTGCTGATATCACCATGAAGGAGGCTGTGGAGTATCTCTCCAGCGAGGACCAGGCGTACCAGCACTGTGGAGCTTCCTACATCCAGCACAATGCATACGTTGATGACAAAACTAAGGAGGAGGTGAATTATCTTCTCCTAATCCTGTCATTATCTTATCTTATCACAGTTCAGCTTCCAATTTCCTTCTGAGTGTAACCTGAATCAGTGTGGACATACTGAGAAATGTCGTTTGACCAGAGTAGAGTAGATGTACTGAATATACTCTCCTGCCACATGTACGCTCAGTCACTGTGTACTCATGTAAATCAAAAATCGACTGAAGATTTTCTTTCATTTATGCAAGCGTGTTTGCTGGTTTTGAGTTTTAATTTGGAATTAGAATGTTGATCAGCCTAGCAGGGAAACCCCACTCACCTCACAGACACCCTCAAACCGGTTAGTACTTTTATAGTATGCTGGAGTGCCACCCACGCTCGTGTGTGGTTGCAGGAGGATCTTTGTTTTTCTTTTTTTTTTTAACTTGAGATTGTACTGAAAAACCCTCCAACTGGCAAATTACCAAAACCAGTTGAGGTTTTATTTTATTTGATTTATTTTCTGGTGTGTTTTATGACAGTTGTGGTTATTGTAGTACCAGCCAATGCAGTTAAAACTGCAGCAAACAGTAGTAGAACCGAACATGTACATACATACAACAGAAGAGAGATGATGCATCTGTTTCCAGCACAACTAAACAAATGTAGGGCATGCTGTTTAATGAGACAAATGCTTAACATGAAACAGCAGGATTAGGAAATGTCTGCATCAGCAGCAACTTAGTGTGAAGAGGGTACATTTAGCAGCGAGGCTGATATCAGTGTCATAAAATGTGAAATTTCCTGTTAGTCCCTGGTGCTCACGTAGGTAAGTTGATTACAGCATGAGAATGGCGGACCCCGCAACTGACAGTAAAAATATACAGGAAAGCTACTGCATAGGAGGTCACCAAAGGGAGAATACACCCTGTAGAGGATCACTGAACAATGTGGATCCTATGCAGTGTCAAAAACAGTTTGATTTGTGAAAAGTTTTAGATTTATGACTTTAACAACAAGTTAATCTATTTAATGGAGTCCTGTGCCATTATTTGACAATAGACTGTTGCCACTGATGTAATTTTTAACCTGCCTCTCCACAAACAGCATAATTTGTAATCTGTTATGGGAAATTCAGGCTGGAAATGGAAGCAGTATTTAAAAAGTTAAAAAATAAATCCCTGTGATTTGAATTGAGGCAAACTATTGTGTTCCCAAGCTGAACCAATCCTGAAGCCTTCTTGTCTCGCAGGTATTAAAGTTCGACGGCATCCTTCCTCTGGTGGGTCTCCTGCGCAGCCCCAGCCCACAGGTCAGCCGTACGGCCTCAGCTGCCCTCCGCAACTTGTCCTTTAAAAGCGACAAAATCAAAGAGGAGATCCATCGCTGCAATGGCATCACAGAGGTTGTGGCTCTTCTCCGAGACACAGACTCTGTAGAGATCCATAAACAGCTGACAGGTATATATTATAGGAGAAGCATGCCATTCTAAATATAAGGGTACATACACACACCTAACCAAACAAACAAGTCAGACAACAAGTGACGAGTGTAGAGTATCACATAATCTTGGTTCAATCCTGCTGTCAATCACAGAACTGCATGCTGCAAAATGTACTAGCATTTAAGCACCCTGTCAGTATAAATCTGATGCTTTTGATAAAGCTAGATGTTGCTGAAAATATAGTAAATGTTTAAATTAACGTTATAAGAGTGGTGCTGAAGCAGGAACAGTTAATACTTTGAATGTAAATGTCACAAACTTCCTTGAATTCTAATTATAGCTCCATTATGAGGAGTACTAACATAATAAAGGAACATTCATGCTCAAACCTTCTGATATTTTTACCACAGGCTGTGAACGTATATTTGATCGACATGCTGATCAAAGCACTCACATTTTTACTTTTCTTTGCAGGTCTGCTTTGGAACTTGTCCTCTGCAGAAGACCTGAAGCCAGACCTGGTGAAGTCTGCTCTGCCTGTCCTCCTGGAGCGTGTGATCCTGCCTTACACAACCAGTCCTAACAGCGGTAATGGCCAAGACCCTGATGTCTTCTTTAACACCACAGGATGTCTTAGGTAAGCAAAAAAAAGATCCACCCGAGCACCAGATATCATTTCATTGCCTTTATTTGTAGCACTCATGAGATTTCGTTGCCTGTGTGTTGGGCAACTGTTGACTCAGCATTAAGCAGTGTTTAAAGAGAACAGCTCTTGAAGTTTTTGGTCTTTCATAAAGACCTGAAACTTCAAGAGCTGTTCTCTTTAAACACTTTAAACGTGTTCTTAAATGAGTTAGAGGCAGAAACATCAGTCTGTAGATGTTTTGACAGGTGATTATTTTTGCTAGCTACATTTTCTGATCTCTGCTGAAATGTTGATTTCTTATCTTAGAAATTTACTTTCACCATGTATTATGAGTATGATGTTTGTGTGGATGCTGTTGTGACCTCATCTGTCTGTCATTTGTGCTGCTGCTTGTCTTGGCCAGGACACTTTTGAAAAATAGATTTGTAATCTCGGTGAGCCTTTTCCTGGTTAAATAAAGGTTAAAAAAAGAAGCAGTGAACATTGTTTTCCACTGGATTTACACAATAAATCCTTCCCTATTACAACAACTGTAAACATCAGACAGCTCCAGGCAACTGCACATAACATGCCAATCATTCATAACCGTTTCCTGTGATAGAGCATTGTTCTGTTGAAATATGGTGATAATGTGCTGAGAAAAGAAGAGGATGAGCAAATATTCTCTGAAAAAGGGCTGAAAAATAACTACTATAACCAATATAGACTAGAACAAAGATAAATACATGTAATACATAAGAAAATGATCTTTCATTTGCTTTACATCTGTTTGACCAATTTGAGCAAATGTAATAATTTACATTTCCTCACCATCCTCACCATAGAACATTTGCACATAGGTTTTAGTTCATTAAGTGAACCTAGTTAAAGCAAACAATGTGTTATACAAAGACACCTTAACCTTTTTTTTGTTGTCATTTTAGAGGCTATAGTTTAAGGTGCTGTTGAGCTGTCTTGATTCATAAAGAAATTGACTTTTAATATTTAGCATGCTGCCCTTGATGTAAATGACTTTCTGGCTGCACACAGTCTCAGTCGTAATTATCTTCCCTAAATTTGAATTCCTTGTGAAGCTGCCTGCCTCCATATAGAGCGTCCTTTGTCAGGATTCCTGCTTTTGAAAGAGTTCATTCAGCGCTCTGTGGCCCTTTGATCTCTGCAACTGTGAATGTAAATGTAAATGTAAAACACCGTCACTAAACGTTGTTATGGGCGATAGGAACATGATGACAGTATAATCTTATCTACTGCATCAGCAAACACATTGCTGCAATGTAAAACATCTGAGCGACAGCATGGATCATTTAGGTAGAAACTGCAATTGTTTGACTGTTGCTTTACTATTTCCTCAGCTCGTACAAGATTAATATTGTTTACTTTAAAGGAAAGGCTGGATTATTTTCAGATAAGCCTTATATTTCTTTTAAATTATATCTTGAAACCTTTGCTGCAAGACCTTTCTGTAGTTGCCACTGTCTGGTAAATAAAAAAATACATTACAGTTCCCGTAAGAGTATTACTTAAATCAAATATTGACCTACTGTACTTATATTTGCCCACTTACAGATGTCTCAAAGTAGACTTCAGGTCTTTGCATACAGTATTTCTTAAAGTGATGTGTCAATCCTATATTGTATCAGAGCATCAATGCATATCTTTTTTCAAAATCTTCAACAGAAACCTCAGCAGTGCAAAGCAAAGCAACAGACAGACAATGCGAAAATGTCGAGGTTTGATTGACTCTTTGGTCAGTTATGTTAAAGACTGCGTGGAAGCAGGAAAACCAGATGATAAGGTGAGCATGGACTGTACTGGGTATTGTCTGAATGTGAAAGTAATAAACATTTTTCACTGTAGAGAAATTCTTCTTGAGCATAATAACTGCTTTGTTGATAGAAAAAAACTGAGCTGTTCTCAGTTGTGCTCAGCTATTTTTGCATATCAAGTCATGGCAAAATTTTAGCAATATTAGTTTTACACATGCGTACAAACACGCGACTTTTGAGTTTTGCATGCGTTCTTATGTTCTGTGTTTTTTCTTCCTTTTGAAACAGTCTGTAGAAAACTGTGTGTGCATCCTGCACAATCTGACGTTCCAGCTGGAGGCGGAGGCTCCAGCTCTGTTTAGCCGGATCACGGCTCTGTCTAAGGTTGCGAGCAGGAGCAACAGCCAGGGCAACAGCAGCCAGGTTGGCTGCTTCAGTCCACAGAGCAGCAAAGCATCAGAACATGAGGTGAGTTGCGTTCACTAAAAACGGACTTATCAGTGTGGAAATACTTCACCAGACATACCAGGAGACAGCACCAACAAGTACCTGTCTGTTTGTCACAGAACCTCTTGTCATTGGTGTAACTTGTTACTTAACTACACCTGCATGTTAGCAATTATGATTACATTCCAGGCTTTCAGAGCCTTGGATTGACAGTGTGAAACTTTGTGCTCTGACTCCTGATGGTGTGTGATATTTTAAACTTTTTTCTTTGTGTGTTATCTTTGCCATCCTGTCCCAGAGCAGGAAAAAGATGCATGTCACAATAAAGTGCAAAATGAAGCACACAAGAAATTGTACAAATTTATTTTATGTCATTGCAGAAATGGCTGATTATAGCACAGTGTGGTCTGCATTTAAAAAAATAAAATAAAATAAAAACAACAAATTTGAACAAAAAAATTGAGCAAATTTGTATGTGCATGTGATATATATATATATATCCCGTGCACATAAAAATGTGTTCATTTTTAAAATTTTATATATATATATGCTTTTTTTCATTTATATATATATACATATATATATACATACATATATATATATATATATGTCACAGTTGTAGGGAAACTATATGCTTGAGTGCCAATGTGCAAATATCAAAGGAATAATGGATTTCAGAATGTCAAAGAAGGCTGAGGACATACAGATCAGTGGACAGACATGTGTTGAGGATGATTCGTTCTCTCTATCGTGCAGCGTCACTTTGACTTCCCAGTTGTTGAGGAGCAACAACCAAGTGGAGCAGGCTGGTTGATCCACTCCAAAACACTGCAGAGCTACCTGTCTTTGCTTGGCTCCAGCAAGCGAGAAGAAACACAGGAAGCCTGCTGTGGAGCGCTGCAGAATCTCACAGCGCATGAAGGCATTGTAAGTGAAAATATGTTACGCTGTCACACGATGACCATGTGAAATCGATAAAGTTGTGGTGTTTTCATACACTCAGCATGCCATTTCTCAAGTTTGGGATCTGATCTGGTTTCCTGTTTTCACAGGTCTCACAGGTAATGAGTCAGACTATTGTGCAGAAACTGAATGGCCTGCCAGCTCTCAGCCCTCTTCTAAGGTCAAGGAAAGCCAACCTGCAGAGAAGCACAGTGGCTTTGGTTGGAAACTTGACTAAGAACCCAAACCTGCACAGCGCCATCGGTAAGAAGCAGGTTTAGGATAAAATTGTTCTGTGCGACTTTATCAAACAGTTACACTCTGAAGTATTTTCTCTTCTTTTTAAAACATGTCTTTTAAACGTAAATATCATTCAGTGTCTAAACATAGTCAACATAAAGATGATAGCTGCTACCTTGAAATCCTTTGCTTTAAACAAACTTTTGCTGTTTTACAAGTTCGCCTGCGTTAAACAGTTGGTGGGTTTTTTTTGCCTTGTTACCGAAGGTCGTAAAATGCTCCCAGATCTGCTGGCCCTCCTCAGTGAGGGCACCACGGCAGGGAATGAGTCTGATGACACCCTCGCCATGGCCTGCCAGATCGCCAGCCGCCTGGTTTTGAAGGAACCTGAGATGACCAAGAACTTTCTCAACAAAAACCTGATAAAATCGCTGAATGATCTCAGCCGAAACAAGTAAGGTTACACGAGGACAGAGAGGAAATTGACATGCAGATGCACTTAGGTGGTTCAAGATATATGAATAATACCTGTTGCTCACAGGGGATTATATTTGGATGCAGCTTAGATTTCCACAAGTTCAAACTGATCTTTAATAATTGCTTTCCCTCCTCAGTTATTTCCCCAAATCCAGCAAGACAGCAGCCATGCTTCTCTTCAAACTCTGGTCAGACAAAGATTTACAAAGCTTCCTGAAAAAGGTGAGTTGAGGCCCAACCCTGAGTGCCAAGATCTGTCAGTGTTTGGGTGTGTCCTTAGACTCAGGTCCACACCTCTTTCAGGTATTTGTGAGAAACATGGAGAAAGCTTAAAGGATTAGGCGGTGTTCTCAGGGAATGCCCAGAGAAAGTGAACAAGATGCTAAAGTTGTTGGGCTGAGGAATCCTGTAGCTCAGGTTCGAGGGATCGCTTTCAGGACTTTGTTTGCACACGTACAGCATCACATTAGCACGGTGCATTGTAACACTCCTGAGCTTATGCATGCATTTTTGGACTCCAACTCAGAGTGTAATATCAAGAATTTGCTATTAGCACAGCACAGGTTAATTCATGATTTTGTAGTTCATTGTAATTGCTGAGGCAGATAACTGACTATATTTTTAACCATTTGTCCTGCAGCAGGGGATGAGTAAATCATCATTTGTGAACGACACCACCACGGCAGCACACAGGTCGCTTCAGGTTGTTGATTAACAACTTAACGGACCTCTGAAAGTCTTATACTGAAGTAACTTGCCTGCGAGGTCTCCACACATCTACAGGACAGAAACGCACTGAGGCTGAGCAGCAACCTTTCCCATTTCACACATATTTTTCAGATTTGTATGCATATTTTCTACATAAAGCTTCCACCAACAAGTAATTGCACAGCCCTGCATATGCTGTAAGGTTCCTTTTTTTTGTAGGAACAAAGGTTAAGATGTGAGATGTTGGCTACAAAACTCATAAGTGCACATTTTTTCTAATTTGCTTTTCGAGTTCACACAGCTGTCAAATGTCTTTTAACTTTTGTGTCACCATCTGCAATCTGAAACCATGAACTTGCTTTAATCGATAAGACATAAGGGTTGGGATTCTGTTTTGCACTGACATGTATATTTTAGTATCATGTAACTACATTGTAAAAATAGCATTTGATAATGTACAATGAACAGTCTGTTGAATTCATGAGGTTTGTGTAGGAGTTGTGACGTTGTCTTAAACAGTGATTTCTTTTACATTTTGTTGGTGGTGTATCCATATTTTCTCATGTGTATGTGCAATCTTGAAAGTGTGTTGTCCCTAATAGTGGCAATAAAGCTGAGAGAAATCTATTCTTTAGCCTGCAAAAGTGGTAAATCACTGAGGTAATTATTGGTCTTTTATCAGGATCAACAGTGCATAAAGATGTTTGAAACCTCCCTTGAAATGTTGTCAAACCCTTCAAGGGTTTTGGGCTGCAGAGTTTGAAATGCTGTTGGGCAGATGAGCAACACATCTCTCAAATTCTGTTTGTGCCACCCTTATAATTTTGTATTTTTCTATTCCCCTGATGCTGAAGAACAAGCTATTAGACACAGGCGACTGCAGCTGTTGTTGTGCTCCGTGTATTATATAATTGTTGACCAGATTTGAACTTTGCTCGTTCACACTTCGAACCACATAATCCACCCAGCGGCCACAAGAGAATTCTGGATGGTCATGGGCGATGTTTAGATTTATGAGGCTTCACGGCTGATCTTTTTTCATAATTATTTGATTTTACACAGTTGGATTTATGCGCTCTGAGGTGACTATTTACAGCTGACTGGTCAGGCATCAATTGTGCTTGAACGTCTTTTAGAAAAAGCTAGAAAGAAAATGGGATTTCAGCCAGAGTAAACTCACTAGACTCTGTTGTAACAACTATCACACAAGCCCAGTTTTGGCAAATGCAATCAGGCATTATTAAAGAAGGTGTGGCTTTTATAATTGCTATGGAACTGCTGCTCAGCTGTGATTTCCCACATTCGAAGAGACCAAGGATAGTAGATGAATAAGACAATATTTCTGTTTTTTACTGAAAGTGATTTTTTTTTATTCATTGCAATCACAAAATCCTGCACACAAGAACCAATTAATAAGTCTCCACATTGCTTTGACTCTTCCAGAAAGGTAGGACCAAACTTTTGCTTTGAATGAAAAAATGAAAGGTCCTTTCAGGTTACACCAGGTTATATAAATATCAGTTGCACCACATTGCCTGATCAGTCAGATTCCACAAACTATTACACATCTACATCTCTGCAGGTGAACTCAGCATGCACTTTTCACAGATAACTTTTTTTTAAGAGCATGTCATTTTCAATGTCGTCATTTTGTTCTTGCATATTCAAGTAGTTAGAAAGCATTATTATGCAGTTTATATTACTCTCAATAATTCATGGAGGCCTGATCTTGCCAGTTTTCCTCCAGTCAATGGCAGATGCTACTTCCTGAGGCCACGCTTGCTCCGGGTACCCTTTGAACTGAGAATAAAGTGACAGTCAGCAGAGATTCATCACATCAACCTACGTAGCTGCTGCTCGCCTGTGCTGCCTACTGAGGCTTGTATATTCCCATGGGAAGTATATCCGTGTGTTGAACCCTGACTACCTGAGAAATGTAATTTATTCTACTGATGCAAATAAGTTGCTCTCTGTAGCTACATTTAACATTTAAATTATTTTAGGGAAATTCCTGACCTAGAAAGGAAATTGTACAGTCTAAACATCTAAACATTCTAATTAAATGTAATTTAATAAAGTGATTTATGCGAATAGTTCACTTGGCCATAAGATTTCCTGAACTTGCGTAGAACAGCTGCAGACAGATGTGATAGTCTCCATTAGCTCAAATCTTTTTTTCTCAATTTTTTTTTCTGTCTTCAATGAAAAGTCTTTTAATTTTATTTGAATAGTTCTCAGTGTATAAAATGATGACGGAAAAATTGAGAGAAAATTAAATTTGATTTATGTTTAAAATATTTGTCTACATAAAGAATTAACTTGGCTCCTCAAACCCATAGCTGGGCACTACCGCTCCACCAAAAGCTGCTGCAGTATCAGATACTGCAGCTTCTGAAAGCTTTTCATAGCCGTTCTTCTGTTGTCAGGGGATTTACTACACATAGTTGACTGCTATCTTTATCCGCTGTTGCTACACAGGCTCCCGACCCCTGCAGCTGATCAATTGTAGGTGGTGCGGTGACATATCATGGTTTTATGTATGTTTGACAATTTATGTCTGTCAGCTCAGATTCTAAAACAAGGTGTTTTGTCTGAATTTTGGATGAACTTTGAAAATAAACCAAGACACTATTTCTGTTGTTATGCTGCTACTTTGTTCCCAAATTGCACAATCGATGACATGTTCTGCAGGAAATCCAATACTGGAGTACATTAATGTTTTGCTGAGCACCTCAGATGTAGTACGCTGTAGTGCCTGCATGTGATCTTGAGAAAGGAATCACATGATTTGGATGGCAGCAGGGCCTGGTCACTGTTGTTTTTTTTGCAAGGTTCATGAACACAGATTATGTCACAGCATTTGAGATCATGAGATCCCACAGCTGTTGTACCTGCATCACAACCCATCTCTTCTTCGATACTGAGTGTGTATAGTTTAGATGCCCCAGCCTGCCCTTTGTTAAAAAACGCCTCTTGCCTGTTCACCCTTTTTTTTTTTTGTTTTCCCAGTCCTGTTTGGCTGGATGTACTCAGGAAACCTTAGCCCTGCTTTTAGGCAGCTGGCTGACACACCATCAAACAAATGGAGACCGGGGGAATGGGAAAGTTGAAACAAGAGGAAGGTGGAAACTTGATGAGAACGTTTACATGAGGGCAGACTTAGGAGGCTAAACCGGGACTTTGTGACTATTATTATGCTTACTTACTGACTGATTGTTGCCTTCTGCCCTTTCTTACTTACTTTGTTGTAGTTTTGCATTTCTACCCATCTTTTTATGGTTGTTGTCCAGAAAATGTATTTTTTATAACCCCACTACTTGGTTTCATGCCCGAATGTATGTGAAAGCACCAAATAAAATCACAATATGTGACAGACTATACTTACATTTTCTGATGGTCAGTGACCCGATTCCTCAGCACGGTGATCTGTGCAAAGATTAGTTTAGTTTAGTTTATTTACATCTGTACCATCTATACTATCAAGGTGATTTTCTGGCATTTGTTTTGCCACATAAAAAAAATATTTTGCCTTAGTTACCAATGTGCAATTTGCACATGCACATAAACTTTATGGAATAATTGCAGTGCATGGAAGCAATATGAGATTAGCCTTTGCTAAAGCTAAATTTGTACATATTTACAAACCTTTTTTTTAATGTAATGTGATATAATTTTGATGATATTACAAGCTTACACTAGCTAGACGAGGTAGTTTCAATACATTAGGCGAGCTATGGTAGGAGAGTTCAGCAGCACTAACTGTGTCCCAGCTTCACCTTCTTGTGGAATTCCTGTAGCTTGATGTGATTACAGTACCATACTATAAAGTACATGTTATATTGTTTACTAATTTTTTGTACTAGTTTATTATGGAATGGAGCTGCAGTAACAGATTTTCTTCACATATGCTGACTGAGATTTTCTGAAAGCCTTATGTGAGGCTTCAAAAATCATCAAATTGCAAATTACAGCTTAAACAATTTTTTAAACAGTCTCATAATAAGTCTTGTGCCTGTCTTCACTGCTGCTGCAGTCACCTCCCTCTGCTTTTGTATGGCAGTATTTTATAGACTATTGTCTTTGGCTGATTTCCACATATGACAACTGAGAACTGTCATCTTTTATGAAGTCTGACTAAATGTTCCCATAAATCTCTCTGTCATGTTCTCTTTGTGTTTTGGCCCACATCCTAGAATCGGTCCAACAGAAGGTGAGTTTCCGATGTACATATGAGTATGGTTTACCTCATACTTCTGCTTTGTGAACTTAAACTGAAGGTCAAATTTCTCTCCCTCTAGCTGGCGCATCCATTCCCACATCTCCTTCGCTTTATCCCTGTATCAGTACAGACAACAATATTATTGCAGTTTATAGTGTTCACGTTGACTTTCATTTGAGAAAACAATGGGAGATAGCGTGAATGGCCTGAGTGAACAGAAATGAGGAATTTGCATCAAAAGTCACTTATTGTGCTTTTACCTGAGTTTGTCCTCTTTCAGGTGATCAACGTTCAGCTCCTTGCGTCGATCATTAAGGATCTTCCGTTTCTTTTCTCTTTCTGTTTGTCTCTTTGCCCCAGTCTGTGTCTGTGGGGTGTGCAGGAATAGTTCATATGAGGTGATGCAGATATTACACACAGGGTGTTGTATGCCTCCATCAGACTGTGACTGTTTTAATAATTTATCACCTTGTATCCAGTGAAACTGAGGTTGGACAGAATCATCTTCTTTCTTGCATCATCATCTGCTTTCTTCTTGGCTTCTTCTTCTTCTTTTCTTGCTTTCTCTTCCTGGTGGGAAAAAAAACCCATCCCCTTTGATCACACTTGTTTTGTTTTGAAGGGTGACATCGCCTGAACTTGGCTAAGTTGAATTTAACTTTAATTCTTAGTGACAGTGTATTAGCCTGAAGCAGGATTACAAAATGATGCGGTAATTACCTAATTTAAACATTTAAAAGCCAGTTTCTAAATTGCAGCTGTGGTTGAGACTTCTTAGACAACCTGCAATTTTCAGGAAACTTCTTTGTTCTTCTTTTCGTTTTCTACTTGTACTTACAGCTAGTTTGTTCTGCCGTTCTCTTTCTCTCTCTGCTCTGATCTTCATCTGCTCTGCTCTCTCAGACCTGCGTTTCTCCTGATATAGAAAAAAAAAAAGGGAAATTCTACAGATCAAAATAAATCCTGTAAACTCAAAAGGTGACATAAGGACAACCCTTCCAGGAAATACTAGAAACTGCACAGGCTATTTGGCAGCAGGAGATTGAGGAGTGAACATACAATGCGGTCTGTGAGGTTAAGAAGCTCTTCTTCCTCCTTCTTACGCTTCTCAAAATGAGCTTCAATCAGACTCTGGAGCTCTATGAGGTCCTTTTCCATTCGTTTCCTATGAATATCCTGAAAAATTGGAAAAAATCAGAAAATGAGCGGACATGTTATCCAAACCCAAACAGCTTGCAGGTGTAACTTTGATCAGTCCTGAGATGAACTCACATCAAAGTCCACTCTTTCACCATCTGGGATCTTGGGAGCTGCCAAGCCAGCCATGAAACCAGACCTGAGGAAGATGGGGAAAAAAGAAAATCACTTTATATGAGTAACTCTCTCGCTGTGTATTCTGTTGTATTTGACTTCTAAAAACATTTTTTAAACTTTGTGCTTACTTTTGCTTGGGCTTTGTGTCATCTGTGTGTGCGTGATAAGAAAAACAACCGAAGTAAAATCCTTAGTTAATGAGACAGCTTATCTTCTTTCTTTTTTTTTTTAAAGTAATACTTATTGCATGAAAAAGCCCTTAGAGCAACATTTTTCTTCTGACACACATTATCACTGTAAATAAGCTGTCCATACCTCCGTCATTGTCTTCTCCAGTGTCTGGTGAAAGATGAGAGAGTCAATGCAAAAATCAACAATGCATGAAGCAATAAAGGTGCAGAGAACTCAAACTGTCATGTAGTGACAGATGACATTCTTGATAGCTCTTCCAGAGAAAATAACCTTTGACTAAAGAGCAGCTGAAGAAATGAATCGCTCCTGAGTTTTCAATCAAACTTGTTCATACAGTCAAGGTGAAATTCCTAAAAAAAAAAATCCATTTTGCAAAGTTTTACACAAACAAATCAGATGTCACACAGTGCCCTTCCTGTTGGTCTTTAACCTAAAGGTAAGAATGGCTGTCAGTAATGCTGGAGCTGAAATGACCTCAGGCACATAGCATTTGAGATAACCAACACAGATGACCATCTCCTGTCAGTGATGATGGACACGAGAGATGTGCAGGTATGTGTATGTTTCTCTTTTTGTCTTTTGTTTTGAGAAGGCAGCTTTAGATTATCAGCACAGATAACTTATATGTCGACTCCACCCAGGTCCCTGCCCAGTTACAAAAACACAAAGAATGGATTTATTAGGCACCAGTTTTCTGTCAGATGCTCACAGTTGATAGTTTTGAGACAAAAAAAAAAAAAGAAGAAAAAAATGCTTAAAATCTCTGATCTTTAACTTACTCATATCTACATAATTTCACATTTATGCACTTTACAACTCAACAAACACACAGTACAGCTACATATTAAAAATAGTATTACAGGCTTATATATTGTCACTTTTCGGTGAAACCATAGATCTTTAAAAGTGGTAATTCATTTTAGCTAAAACAGTTACATCATCTGAAAATTTTTTGTTTTTTCTTAGCCCATGAGAAGCTGACATTTTCATGGGACAGCAACAATATACAAAATAATAACCACTGTCATCACACGACAAGGTTGCCAACAGCTATAAACATGGCTGTTTATAGCTGGCATGCAAACATATTAGCGTAAGCAGTAGTACCTTCCACCTCCTCCTCCTCTACCTCCTCTTCCTCCTCCTCCACTACCTCCTCCACCTCTTCCTCCTCCTCTCCTTCTGTGCAAAGCAAGCATGTAGAGTTAGCAAGCAGATCAACATGACAACCTTGCACTACATGTAGCCCAACATTTCTGCCACCTGTGTGTATTTTTGACCGTGCCTTCAAAAAGCGAAGAAAAGCTTTCATTTGCATGGCGTTTGCATTCTTCCTCGTGGCCACAGTGACCTTTCTGCTTCATGTCACACTTCTATCAGGATGTGCTTTATCCACTTATTCTGCTATGGAATGAATAATTGGCAATGTGGATGTGTGGATTAATTTAAATGACGCTCTTGCATTTAAAATATCATTCTCTTAACAAAGCTGTGCAAATAGCTCATTTTCAGTTTGAAATTAAAAAGTGAGGCTTAATAAAAATGAGAGCCAAAGTCCATTTCCAGCACTTATAAAAATAAAGATTCAAAAATGACTTTTGCCAGCCTCCAGCTTTCCCACAGTTACTTTTTTGTGCTGTTTTCCAAGCAGCTTAAATGCTGTGTTTTTAAGTCCTCACTGGGCCTCTGTGGGGAAAAAATAACACCAACTCTTTAGTCCCTTTGGCCACAGAGGGAAATTCAACCTCTTTCCCCTGCAAAGAAGGTAAGCCAAGCTGCGTTTAGGAGGACCCCTGACAGGCATAAAAATGAAAGTAGGCATTGTCCTCTTGCTGCTATCTTCCCCAAGGTCCTCTACTGAGAACATAAGCTGACCTACATTGCTCACAAACAGCGACTGTACCCCACGTAGAGGGAGACAGGTGCTGCTTAGTTTCAGGAACGGCCAAAGCTGTACAGTGGCCCACATGGACGGCCTCACAAAGGAGACAGAAATAGATGTATGACTCTTTATCTCTCTGATAGTGACCCATTGAACCATTCGAATCAAAAGGACAAATCCGCTGGGATGTTTGCACAAGGTGAACAATCTCCCATCTCAGGCCAAGAGGACTGACTGAAAGGACAAAGGTCACTCTGGCAGAAGTGCTGAAGGACAGCAGCTGCCTCTACAGTGGCACCAACAAAAATACAGTAAGCTGTGCAGTGAAACCAGCAGCTTAGCAGATGTAGCTTGTTAAGTGAACAAGAATATTTAAATGCAAGGCTTAAGCGGGTGAAGCAGGTAGCAAAGTGGCAGAATAAACCGCAACCAGGTATGCGTTTAGAAGCAAAGATTTACATTGCTTTCAGAGATATTGTTTGTGTTTGAGTACGTACCAACAATATCTTCCTCTCCTTCACATCACATAGAGAGGTAAAGAGCAGAGGTCAGCTATTACAATGAACTTCACAATAACAATAAATATCAGCATGGCATTTCCATTCTACATTCGTGCACCATAGTCACAACAAACATGCTTTTTTTTTCATAATTCCTGTCTATTTCAAATACATGTGTAGCATCAGATGATTTTTTTTTACTAACAACATGCAGCTGCCTGAATCAAAGTAAACTGCAGAAGAAGACACAAGTGGAAACTTATCTGGCCCAGTTCAATGAACCCAAACTGACTTACGCTGTCCTCTGAAAGCAGACAAAAAAAAAAAGATATTTTATCAAAGTTATTTTCATCTATGCTGTCCTCATTTTGGTAACATCACTCTTCTCTCTATGGAAATGAATCATGTACTCACTCATTTGTCGCATCTTCTGTGCCCGACATGGTTTAGGATGCAGCACCTGTACAAGTAAGTGCAATACAGAGGAGAAGAGTTTGCATTTCTGCACCTGCAACAGCCTGAGATCATATGATGATACCTCCAGTTTGAACACGCATGTCTGAAATATGCAACAATGCTTGCAATAGCATTAATACGATTACAGAATCTCTATTTCGTGGTAAAAAAGGCATAAGAAGAGACACAGACTTACCCAGATAGTGCGATGTGTGCTTCTGATGGGTCTCAATGGGGAATTGTATACTGTGTCCTTCTCTGTGGGCCTTAAGCTTTTAAACCCAGTAGTGGATCACATGGCGGCAAGCTGCCCATGTCTACAATGGGTGGGCACATACCTGCAAACAGATGGCAGATAGCATTAACTAGAATGGGAAAACATGCATTCTCCGTGGACTTGCTTTGTCTATTTTTACCTTTCAAAACCTCGACCGAACATCGCAGGATTATTGCTCTCAAAAGGTTTCAGTGTCTCAGGTCTGCCAGACAGGAGGTATGTTAGAAATAATCCTTGCAGACCTATTCCTGTGTTTGCACGAATACCCAAAGGGATGGTTCGAGTTGCTCTGATTTCCAAGAAAAGAAATGTCTTGCATTCTCTTACTTTATCTTTGATTCTGCAGATCAATGCCATATTCTCAGCTTTTACTCATGCAGTTCAATTGTATTCCTGAAGCTGGATGTGTTATACAATCAAATCACTGAACGTTATTCTCAGGTTGTCAAGGAAGCGATTGACATTTAACTATCACCTTTTACTGGCTCCATATTCTACACCTTGTCTTTTATCTGGAACTTCCAACACTGAGTCCTCACAAGCAATAACATGTTATCAGCAGCACCCTTTATGACCCTGCCAAGCCCTTTGATACACCCAGTGTTTACTGTAATGTTGTGTCGGACCCCACAGTAAGGATTATGAGTCAGCAGTGGTTTACTTTGAGCTGAGGCCAAAATGTAACTCAATTTGTGGGACTGCTTAAACAAGGGTTCCCCCTCTACCCCAACTCTGTTTACACAGAGGTTGTTTTGAAGCTCCCATCAGCAAATTCACATCTCAGGTCAGTCAAGACTGGTTCGCGTCAAGTCTTGCGTTTTAGCCAAAGTGGATCCCGAGCGAAGTGCCAAGTCTTTGGAATCAAGTAAAAAAATGTAGAAAAGTATTAGCAATTAATAAAATAATAACACCTTTAGAAATAAATAGAGAAATTACTATTTCAGACTAAGTAAATCAACAAAAGAAGAACAAGCAGAAGTCATATAAAATGCATTTAAAAGGCTAAATTTCCCCAAGGATAAAAATGACTCAAGCTTTATGTTGTTCTGCAGGTTGCCTTATTTTGGAGATTTTCCAGGTTCAGCAAAAAGAACAAGAACCTGTAATGTAATCCAACCATTTGAGCATGTTCAATAAGTCCTGCCCTTAAAATAAATAAATAAAAAGCAGCAGCAAAGCCAAGTAAGGACGTAGACGAAAAAAAACCAAAACCAAAATATAAGGGCCTGAAAAATAACCCAGTGTTTATCACATCTCATGAGAGCTTCAGGTTTCTTACAGCTGACACATCAAATGACAAAGTGTATGTACAACACTTTATCTTCTCAGTGTTTTAAGCGATTTAACCCTTATATACAGCTTCCATTTATGACCGTATATATTGAGATGAATTTTAGATCTACCAGTGCATCAAATCAAGGAAAATGGTGGTTTTAGGGAATCTTGAAACTGTGAAACTGTACAGGCGATGTTTTATGTGTATTTTTTATTGACATTCATTAATGTGACATTGACTATTTAGACATTCTAAATAGATCTGTAGCTTAAAATCTGGTATAGCAGCCTTCTATGGGGGAAATCTTGACAGGAATCCTTCACAGTATTGTAAAGTCATAAAATATAAACAGTATGTAAGGGGTAACTGACCTGATACAGAAATGCAATCTTTTAAAATATTTGCTTTTTGTCTTATTTTGAAGGATTTAAATAGGAGAAGATGTTTACAAGGACTTAGGTTTTAAAAGTAAACTCCACATGAATCTGTTGTTGATACTGTATTCCTGTGTATGCACTGTGATATATTGCAAAATCGTCAATTTTGTTTTAATTTGGCACCAAAGACAGTTGGTGTTTACGACGAAATTTCTACGAATGGAGCATGAATTATAAAATACATTGCAATTCACAGGAGCTCGATGATACCACACACTCTTTCACAGTGGTGGATTGAGGCGTCATGCAGTTGAAAGGGATGGTGGAGGATTTTAGCATTTTTATACAAAATTTTATTTTTTAGAATAAAAGTTTAAAATATCCAGAAATGAAACTAAAGCATAAACCTGAGGATACCAATAATAATATAAGAGTTTTATACATGCATTTGTGTTACCTACTGTTGGATTCAGTCATAAAGTGTCATCAATGCCAGTGTGGACTTCATCGTAGATGTAATTCTCTAATAGGCTCAACAATGTGACACTGTGTACCTGCAGGTGTTGGGTTTGTTCCAGTTGTATATGCTGTGTGCATAATTAGTACCAAAATGTCTGAAGTCTACAGTATTGTTTGTATTAGTTTTCTACATTGAGGTCATGGCATACACAGAAACTTATGTATGTGTTTTGCATGATAAAAGATTCCTACATTGTCAACACATCTTTACCTTGTATGACAGAATACCATATCTGTGTGTGTACCTTAAATATCAACACTAAAATCAATTCTGGGTAGCATCTGTGGGGATATAGTTTCTTTCTTTAAAAGCACATTTTGTATCAAATATTTGAACTGTCTTTACTTTGGTGTGACAGGAAAATTGAAATGTTTTCTCTGGAGCATGAAAACAACGAGTCAAATGGTCAATTTTCTTTGCTTTCAAAGAAGAAGGGCAAAGCAGTCATGAACCCGACACAGCTGATTCTTTTTTAGTTTATCAGTCATCATTTTGGCACATCTTGCTTCTTGCAGGATAAAAGCTCATCTGACTGACATATAAATAGTGTGCAGAGCAGGTGATTCATTCAGAGGTCACAGGACATTCACACGAACTGTTCCACAGTGACTCTTAACACTGATTCATAAAGCAGATGTTCATGCTCCTTTGGGCTTTTAGTGAAAATATTTTACTTCTGTATGTTTTAATTTCATGTTACTTTAAAAATAATTATGAGTGAGGTGCAAGAAAAGCTGCTGGGCAAAGTTAGAAGTTAGTTAGTTAGTCTGTGAATCACAGAATTCAATCCAACTACCTTCCTGTGGTTGAATAAACTTTCTCCTTCTGGTTGTATTGTTGCAAACCCCACCCGTCTGGCACCTGAGTCAACAAAGACAAACAATAGAAACTCCTCAGGCCTAATTCCATTTACTCTGCATGGCATGGGCACACACATATCAAACCGGTCTCCTTTCTAACTAACTCACTTCTGAATACAACCTCCAGATTTCCACGCAGCACTATATCTAGGTGTACAAAAACAATAATTCAATCCATGTTTTTGTCTTATGTTGCCAGACTCAAACCAGCTGGTGGGAAAACCTCTGTTATCATTGCAGTAAACCTAATGTGAGCTGATGCTGCCACCTTGGGGCATAAATGAAAATGTGCTTGGATGGATTAAAGTTTGGATGCAGTCAGTGGGACAGACCAAAGCATCTGATGGGGGGTGAGAACTCCCAGAGGGTGCAATCAGAAATATGGTTGGTGCCATCTGCATGTCATGGAAGTCAGGTGAGCTAAATATTTGTCTTCATAATCCATAAATTTAAAAAAACAACAACAACAAAACAATAATAATAACAACAACAATGCCACTGGCACTGACGTTACACAATAAATAAATATTCTATATTACACCAGTGCTGTCCACCTTTGTAAAATACAGCACATAGATTTATACATTGAATATAGTGAATATTTAGTAAACTGGGACACTTCCTTAAAAAACAAAGAAAAGAAAAAATGTAATCTGGAACCATTTTAATAACAATTTCATCATTCCAGGGCCTCAGCTCCAAACTTAATATAATTCTATAAAGATTAACCCCCAAACTGCAATACAGAAAAGAAAAAAAATAAAGAAACATAATATGGATTATTTAATCTCAAACACAATAAGTTCTAGCAGCAAAATGGGATGCCATATGCATTTTGATATAAAAGTTATTGTCAACATTTTGATGTCTTAAAACAAAAAAAAACATAGCCTACAACAAAAACACAACTAAAATGCATATGGGAAGTTTGGACAATTATTTAGCTTTTCTGCTGCCTACTTTTAAAATTTAAACAGGGCTTCAAAACTATTTTGACCATGGCCACCACATAGGCCCACCT